GGCTTGTTCTATTCTGTTCATCTGATTTTTCTGGATTAGTATTGGTAGATTGTTGATTTAGAAATTTATTTCTTCAAGTTTATCAAATTTATTACCATACAGTTGTCCACAGAAATCTATTATAATTTTTTTTTATTTCTGTACTATCTGTAATGATTTCTCCCTTGTCCTTTGCAGTTCTGTTTATTAATTTTTTTCTCTCTTTTTCTTCTTCTTCTTTTTTGCTAACCTAGTTAGGGGGTTATCTTTGTTTATTTTCTCAAACAACCAGCTCTTGGTTACATTAATTTTTATACAGTCTTTATAAATCTCTATTTTATTCATTTCTGCTTTTTAAAAATTATTTCCTTCTACTAACTTTAGATCTTATTTGTCTTTTTCAAGTTGCATTAGTTGTGATATTAGATTGTTTATTTAAGATTTTTCTTGCTTTTTAATGTGGGCCTGTATTGTAATTATCTTCCCTCTTGAGAGCACTTTTGGTACATCCTATAAATTCTGGGAACTTATATTATCATTTCCATTTTTCTTAAAGGTATTTTTTAATGCCTGCTTTGATTTCCTCTTTTGTTCCATTGTCATTAAGCAGCATGTTATTTAATCTCTAAGTATTTATATCTTTCCCAGTTTTTTCCCCCTTATATTTGAGTTCTAGTTTTATAGCATTGTGCTCAAAGAAAGTACTAGGTATAATTTCCATTTCTGTGGTTTTATTGAAAATTCACCTGTGTCCCAAGATATGGTCTACTCTTGAATGTCTTCCACATGCACTTGAAAAATGTGTTTATGAAGCCACTTTGGGGTGGAAAGTTCTGTAGGTGTCTGTTAGACCTATTTGTTCTAGCTCTTTATTTAAGGCTATTGTTTCCTTATTTATTCTTAGTCTTGTTGATCAGACCAAAGTTGTAAGTGGGGTATTAAAGTCCCTAGTATTATTATGTTGTTATTAACATCTATCTTTAGATATGCTACTGCCTTATATATCTTGGAGCTCCATCTTTCGGTGTATATAGATGATTTCTTCCAGTTGTATTAGACCCTTAATCATAATATAATATCCATCTCTCGCTCTCTCTCTCTTTTTTTTTTTTTAAAGATTTATTTATTCATACAAGCACTGGGTACAGTCAGAAGCACGGGAGGGTGAGAGAATTCACCAGAGCTAGAGCGGGGAGCAGAGCAGGCAGAAGGACCGAAGTACACTGCTGAGGGGAGCAGCGGGCGGCAGGAGAGGTCTGCGCGCCATGTGGGACCCTCCGCGGGTGGCCAGGGAGCAGCCGGGGATCGAACTGGCGCCGCAGAGGCCGCGGGCAGCTTCGCAACCCAGCGCTCAACCACTGCGCCACAGGGGAGGCCCTCTCTTTCTTTTTTTTTAAGATTTATTTATTTATAAAAGAACCGGGGTACAGGCCAGATGTGCGGGAGGGTGAGAGGATTCATCAGAGACAGAGCGGAACAGAACAGGCAAACTGATGAAATACACTGCTGAGGGGAGCAGTGGGCGAGACAGGAGAGGTCTGCTGCATCATGTGGGTTTCTTCCGGGCTGACTGGGATCAAACTCGTGCTGCAGAGGCTGTGGACAGCTTCACAGTATGGCACTCAACACCTTGCGCCACCAGGGAGGCCCTCCATCTCTCTCTTACTACCTTTTTCATCTCTCTCTTACTACCTTTTTGAATTGGAAGCATCGTCTATCTGCTGTTAAGTATAATCTTTCTTGGTTTTTTTTTTTTTTTTATTTGTCATTTGCTTGTGGGACTATAGTCCAGCCTTTAACTCTAAGTCTATGCTTATCTTTATTGGCAAGGTCGATTTCTTGTAAGTAGCAGAAAGTTAGGTTTTTTACTTGAAATCCATTCAGTCACTTTATACCTTTTGAATGGTGAGTCAGATTATACACACGTAAGGTGATTGTTGACACATTAGTGTTCATAGCTATATTGTTAATTTTTTTATTTGGTTTGGTTTCTGCTGCAGTGGCTGCAGATAGCTTCATAGGTTGCATTCCAACCATTTGCACCACCAGGGAGGCCCCACAATTTTAGTTTTTATAGGTTGTTTCAGGGTTAGACTTTCACAGTGTTACTGTTTTTTGAGGTCTTCCTTTTATTTTTTACTGAAGTTTCATTTCTGTTGTATTTTTTTTAAAAAGGATTCACTTATTTACGCATACAAGAACTGGAGTACAGGCCAGAGGTGTGGGTGTGTGTGAGAGGATTCACCAGAGACAGAGTGGGGAACAGAAAAGGCAGACTGACTGAAATACACTGCTGAGGGGGGCAGTGGGTAATTCAGGAGAGGCTTGCAGCACCATCATGTAGGTGTCTCCCTGGCCAGGGATGGAACTTGTTTGCTGCAGTGGCTGCAAATAGCTTCAGAGTTGCTTCTTAACCCCGTGCACCACCAGGGAGGCACCATTTCTATTGTCTTGTTTAGTACTTCTATTGATTTTTTGTTTCAATATTTGCTGAGGTTAGTATATGATGACCTTTTTGTTTGACCCATTGGACAGTCTGGTCTCTAACTCATCAGATGGGCCATATTATTACTCTTCTCTTCCTTCTTCATGTTACATAATTTAGGTGTATGTTACTTCGATATTCATTGAACAGTTGGCTTATAATAACCCCTTTAAGATTTCTTTGTGGGTTTGCGTTGATATGTTCTTTTAGTTTTTGCTTTTCAGTGAAGTTCCCTATTCTTTCTGTCTTGATGCTAACCTTGCAGAGTAAGGATTCTAGGCTGGAACTATTTTTAAGTAGTTTGAATATCTCCTGCCAATCCCTTCATGCTTTTCATATTTCTTAGCTCCAGTGTATCTAATTGTAACTGCCTGTTCCTGTTTCATATCCTCCTCCTTTTATTTATTTATTTTTTTTGAGTTTCATAAGTGTTTATACTGTTACCTTGAACTCTTTGGTAATGTTCCATAGTTTTGCTGGATTGAGACTCTTAGATTTTTATTTTTATGTGGCTTTTCTGTTTATTTGTTTCAGCCTTTGTGGTATGTTCTCCTATCTCCACAATTTTAGTTTTTTTTTTTTTTTAAGATTTATTTATTTATACATACAAGAACTGGGGTACAGGTCAGAGGTGTGGAGGGGTGAAAGGATTCACCAAAGACTGAGTGGGGAACAGAACAGGCAGATTGACTGAAATACACTGCTAAGGGGAGCAGCGGGTGAGTCAGGAGAGGTTTGCTGTGCCATGTGGGTAGCTCCCTGGTCAGGGATCAAACTCATGCTGCAGTGGCTGCAGATAGCTTCATAGGTTGTGTCCCAACCCCTTGTGCCACCAGGGAGCCCCACAATTTAAGTTTTTGTAAGTTGTTTTAGGGTTAGACTTTCAGTGTTACTTTGGCTTATTTTGAAGTAATTAAAGACTTAGTACTGGTAAAGGGTAGTAGGTTAAAAAAAAGACCAAGGCAGTAGGAAACTGAAGGATCACCTACCATAAGCATCAAAAATGCATGCTCCCTTCTGTGCTATGGATCTCAGAGTTGTGTGGTGGAGATGTAGCAATCCCCTCCTCTAAACTAGTCTTGTATAGTCTTGGGTTAGTTTCCACCTCCACACTATTTTTGAGCAATAAAATGCAATGCTGGGCATAGATTGTAGTTGATATGGGGTTGGGATTTGATCTTTTTTCTAGTACAGGCCTCTATTGGGCTGTTTGTACCTCTTAATAGGTGCTTAAACTCTAATTAATCCAAGTGCTCATTTGTTGTCTTGGTTTTAGTTCTGAGGAGGTGGGGCATTAGATGTTTTGAATATCCCAGCCTCAACTTTGAGTACTAGCCTCTTCTTATAAGGAGACACAGGTAATCTGACCTGTTTCTCTCAACCAGTCAAGGCTCCAGCTATTCCATATCCAGAGCCTCAGGCTCAAGCCAGCAATCCTTGATCTGCATGCCTGCACCCACAGTTCTCTAACAGTGCATCCTCTGTCTGGGCACCAACTCTGCAAGCCCCCTATGCAGCACAGAGTCAGGTCTCAAGAGTCCCCAGTGTTGGTGTGTGCTACTGAGCTAGTCACTAGAGGAGCTCCACACAGCAGTCATTCCTCTTTTTTGTGGGTTATTCTACTTTGGTATCATTGTAAACACAGTTCATTTTAAGTTTTTCCAAACCCATTTCAGCTGGACCATTCTTCCTGGTTGTGCTGTCATTGTCCATTTTTCCCTTTGGCTTTGTTCTGCTGAAATATAGTTGTGAGTATATGGAGGAGGTAAGCCCAGCATCCTCACTCCGCTGCCATCTTTCCAGACTAACCTTTACAGATATCTTTACTTCAAATATTAGTTCTTCATGAAAGGTATTAGCTCTGGAACACTTTTTTTTTTTTTAATAGAGGCATGTTTTATTTATTTATTTATTTGTTTGTTTGTTTTTGTTTATACATGCACTGGGTACAGTCAGAAGCACGGGAGGGTGAGAGAATTCACCAGAGCCAGAGCGGGGAGCAGAGCAGGCAGAAGGACTGAAGTACACTGCTGAGGGGAGCAGCGGGTGGCAGGAGAGGTCTGCACGCCATGTGGGACCCTCCTCCGGTGGCCCGGGAGCAGCCGGGGATCGAACCAGCGCTGCAGAGGCTGAGGGCAGCTTCGCAACCCAGCGCTCAACCGCTGCGCCACCGGGGAGGCCCCTGGAACACTTTTTGTTCCAATCCCAACACAGAAACTCCTCCTGTCCCAGGATTGGCAACTACCACGTACAATCTGCACGACTGCTTCCTGACTTTTATAGATTTCCCTTTGCTTTTTGAAATTTGGCAGTCTTTTTTTCACTGGCCTCCTTCCACTGCATATGAAATCATTTTATAATATCATGGCTTTCATTATCAAAACCCACTTATCAAGCATCTAGCGATAACACATCCAATTTTTCTTTTCAGATCTGGTTGATAAAGTAAAATACACAATCTTAAAAGCAACTACATTAAAAACAAAAACAACATTTACTATTTTACTTAAAATCAAAGTTAAAATAGTATATGAAAATGCTTCTTTTGTAATCACATAATTAAATATTTCTTGTCAATTTTGTTTATCTCAGCTGTTTCCTTTGAAAACATTTTGTTATAGAAATGGATTTTGAGAAAAGTGTTTGAACCTTACAGTTTTTGCTTTTCCAAATGCAAGTTTTTCCAGTGTTTACTGCTAACACTTGGATTAAAAATTTCAGTGGAAGGTTTTAGAGCATATAGATCTTTCCATGGGATTTTTGTCTCAATTACAGACATCTGTTCATGTCTCAAATGAAACAATTCGAAGCCAACTATAAATGTAATAATAAATCAATAGCTGGTATTGCTGGGCATAGCACACTCAGCATAAAAAGTAAGCTAAGGAGGATGTGATAAGAAAAGAAAATTTGTTTTAGCAATTCATCTCTTAATAATGTAAAGTGTCAACATAAGAATTCTTTAAACACAGAAGTGATTTGTATCTTGACAGTGTTTCTTTGAGGTCTTCTGGGAACAAATCTTAAACTGTTGAGCAATTCTGACTTATGCAAGCACATACTTTATTACTCATCTGAGAAGCAGAATGACTAGTCAGAGAATGAAACTGCTCCGTGTTTCTAGAGGCAGCTGGAAAGACAAGTCTGCAGAAGTTGGCAAGGTGGCAACATTGTAATGTGTGCTCGGACCCTGGGTCTTCTAAATATGCACAGGGGGGTTTACCAAATTTTCGAAAGGTTCTTCATGCTTTCCAAAATACCTAAAAGTAGGTTGGAATAAATTAAAATCAGAGACAAGTTTACTCCCGTAATTTTAATATTGGAAAACCCACATAAGAATTGAAATTTAATTTGGGGGATTTTCCCCCTGGTTTCAAAATTTGTATCCATTATTATAAAAACTAAAAGTTTAAAACCACTTTTACACTTAAAAATGGTTAATAACATAAATCTTATATGTATTTTTCACAATTTTTAAAAAAGAATTTAAAAGGAACCTCATGGAGGAAACCTATTAAAGTCTTAAAAATATACACGATATGAAACATTTCTGGTTATACATCTACTATCTACCCAATTACTCTCTTAAAAACCATAATACTATAATTTTCCATAAGTCTAACTTTTAATAACATAAACTCTTTGAGAAATGTCCAGGAAACAAGAAAGCAAAAGTTCTTTTAATAGTTGAGATAGTGATCACAATGTCCTAGATTTTCTTTGCACAGAATTTCTAATAGTTCTTACTTACATGCAATTTTTATAAGCTAAGTAATATTTCTCATCCAATTGAAGATTAAAAGCAGAAAATTATTAAGGTGAGTAAATTACTAAGGATAGGAGTCTTGATAGGAGAGGGGAAAAGTAGCTGATTACCTAACAAAGGATAAACAACAAACAACAAAAATTCCCCCCAAAAGCAGATTTAAAAGGGAAGGGGGGGTGGGGAATTTTTATTTAATGGGGACAGTGTTTCAGTTTCGGATGATGAAAAAGTTCTGAAGATTGATGGTGGCGAAAATTGCATAATATTGTGAATGTTCTTGATATCAAGTTAAAGTTAGCTAACTTGGTTAAGTTTTATATTATGTATATTTCATTGCAATAAAAAAAACAGTAAAAGAAAAAAGAAAGCTAGATATTGAAAGAGTCTCTAACTGATAAAGCCGATTCACTCTTTTGTAAGAAGTTTCTGCAAGTTAGCAGAACCAAAAACTCCAAAGAATGACAGATCAGCTGTCGGTCTGACTCAGAAAGGCTGGTTTGAGGAAAGGGTGACTTAAAATGCTGATATTTGAGGCGGTAAGGCAGTCATTGTAAGTGCATTCAATACAGTCAAGTAGCAGTTAAGAGGTTTTTTTATATGCAATTTTTGGGTAATTTATGATCCCTCTTCTGTTCAGGAATTTATAATCTAATTAAGATAACACAATATTTTGGGATAAAGCAAATTAGCATAGCATATCTTCCTGCTTTCTAGTCCTTTCATAATCTGACCCTATTCTATTTTTTACTACTCATCATAGAGAACATTCTTTTTTAGTAAGGCAGATTTGCTAAGTCTCCTCCACAGTGATTATAAACAAGGGGGGCTTTTCTTTCCAAAAAAGGCAAAAATTGTATCAGGGACCAGAAAGCCTTTCTAGGCATGAAGGTATAAAGAGTATGACTCAGTCAGTTTTCTTGCATTTGTAGCTGGGTTGGAGGGCAGTGAGCAGGTAGGTAGTCTTTGGAAAAGCTCCACGTGGATACCAGAGAGAACCCCTAAAACAATCTGGCCTGGTAACAGGGGCCTTACTGCTTTAATTCACACTACTGGCTACCTCTTCCTGCTCTAATTGATGCTTGACACTCATCATAGAGTTTTCTTCTTTCTCTCTGCTCAAAAACCATTCTTCCCTAAGACAAAGTATACGGAGTTCATTTGGGTTTAGTTTCCTTATTTATAAGTACATTCCCTATTTATAAGATTCCTTGAGATCACCTGAAAAGAGCCTGAAACTCTGGTGTAAGAACTACCAAGTTTTGAAATCTCAGCTCTTTGATCTGGGCAAAGTACTTGTAATTTGCATTTTGTTCTTCTATAATATGGCTGTCTTGAGGATTAAATGACACAATACACATGTTTAGGGCAACACCTGGTGTAGAGAAAGGACACACATATCTACATCCTATGTTAACTAATAATTTATACACTGCAACATTGCCATTACTGTAGTCTTTGTTCTCTGTTGGTCTTGTGTTCACTCTTCTTTTCTCTCCTTATCAGCTGTGTGCATTCTGTGGATATACTCATTTAGTTATTATTTAATCCAAACGTATATTTGTAGTTAACTATCATATTATAGAAGTGTCAGGCATTGTAAGACAAAAATCACCAAGAATCACTCTACCCAGAGACTACCACTTTTAAAATTAGGCTGCATGCTTTCCTATACTCTATTTTGTCACCTGCTTTATTTTCTTGAACACATCTACAAGACCAAAGGTTCAACCCTGGGGATAACTCATGTGGTTTTACTCACTATGGCCCTGGTTTAGCTGATAGCTCATACATAGAAGGTGCTCAAAAAACAAAAACTGAAAGGAGTTTGTGTCAATAAAACACATCCACAAAAATCATTAAACTTAATATTCTATGTAAGTTTGTCAGAATTCCTGTGTCTTGGAAACTTGTTTGCAATTTGTTTCAGATACATGGAAAATATTTTTTATATATACATGAAAAATTAAAAGCATGTTTTAAACAAAGGCACAAAAGATAACAGCATACATTATAGAACCAAGTCACTCAGAATCAACATACTTTTAAGATTTTGACAGTTTTTCTTTAATTTTTTAAGTAAAAGAAGTAAAACATGGCAGATAAAGTTAAAGCCTGCCTGCCTTCCTTTCTTCCTCTCTCCTTTTCTCCCTCCTTCCCTCCCTGCCTTCATTCTACTTTGGCAACAACAGTCATGACTTTGGTGTATATTTTTGCAGTCCATGTCTATACTTATATAAAGTAGCTGATCAATACAGGCTTGGTGGGATTTTGTCATTTGTGGATATCATAGTGTATATACAGTTCTGTAATGTGTTCTTTTCCCACTCTACAAAGGTTTTTTTGTTTGTTTGTTTTTGTTTTTTTGTTTTTATTTATACAAGCACTGGGCACAGTCAGAATCGCGGGAGGGTGAGAGAACTCACCTGAGCCAGAGCGGGGAGCAGAACAGGCAGAAGGACAGAAGTACACTGCTGAGGGGAGCAGCGGGCGGCAGGAGAGGTCTGCGCGCCATGTGGGACCCTCCTCCCGTGGCCGGGGAGCAGCCCGGAATCGAACCAGCTGCCGGCAGCTTCGCAACCCAGCGCCCAACCGCTGCGCTACCGGGGAGGCCCCTCTACAAAGGTTTTAAATTATATTTATAATCATTTATCCTTTGGAAAGTACAGAACTACTGATAGTTCATTCACTTAGCTATTGTATATATTTCATCATTTGAATATACCTACCTTTATTTTCCTACTGTTCCTCATTACTGGGTATTTAGGTTGTTACTCTGTAAATATAAAATGTTATTAAGTTTTTTACTTACATTTTAAGTTCTTTTATTTACAACATTTCAGTTGACTTTTTAAAAAAAAATTATGTATACATTTTTGAAGATAAAGCAAAGGCAGGACAAAAAAGAATGGTGGCCAGTCCCTCACATGGTGGTGCTGTGGAAAGAAGATGGGTAGATAAGGAGAGAAGCTACACGGGTGTGCAAGTGTGATGTTGTCACGGGACTTACTATTCTCAGCCAGGGACTTATTCTGCTCCCAATACTGTGCAAGATGCCTGGGTAGAGTAAAGGATAACACTGAAAAATGAAATTGAATCCTAAATTGCACAGTATTGGCTTAATTATCAGAGTGAAAAAGAGAAAACAGGAAGGAGAACGGAGAAGATTCCCAGGAGGAGCAGCAGCAGGGTAAAAAGCGCGGGGATAGGATTTAGCAAGGAAAGTGGGGTGGACGCAGAACAGGGACTCCCAAGGTTGTGAAGTAATCTGGAAAGAATGACAATCATTACTGTTTCTTTTGAGATTAAAATGTCACAAGAGTTTGTTAATTAAAAAGTAAATTGGATTGGCTATTACATCGCTATTAGCCCACACCATTACCTGTCTAGATTTCGGTGGCAGAAATTATGGTTAGGAGACCCAGAGATAGATCAGGATTTGGCCTCCTGTCTATTCTATTCCGTATTTCCGCACAATTTATGCACATGTCGTTGCACCAAATCCACAGCCCCCAGTTGGAAAGACAGTCCAGTGGCTGAAAAGGAAAACCACAATCTCAGTTTCTAGTATGCATTACTGTTCTACACATCTTAAAATACTTTTCACAATACACCGCACTGGGGTTGATTAAAGCAAACATACCTAAATTTGGAGATCTACCATTTATCTATATAACGTCCTCCTTTATTCCTTGATCCCAGGAAACAGCAGCTCTGCTTTTCCGCCCTGACTCTGGCACGCAGAGTCTTGGCACTCTTGGTAACGTGGAGTCCCCATCGGGCCTGTTAACTTACTTTCTTCCCCAAGCCTGGTGTGAGCGGCTTGAGGAAGCAGTGGTTTAACCGAGCGAGTCCCCAACTTTTAAGCCCCGTGGAGTTGAGGGGCACCACTGGAGTCGGGGGCGGGTGACCCCCGGGCAAGGGTCCAGGCCGGCGGGCGCGCTGGCAGGTGGCGGGGGCGCGGGGCGCGGGCGCCGGCCGGGGCAGGAAGCGGGCGGGGCGGGCGGCCGGCGAGCAGCAGGGCCGCGGGCGCCCCGCCCGGGCTGGTATGCGGCCGAGAGTGACGCGGGAGGCGGGTCACGTGACGCCCGTGGAATGCCAACAATGTAGCGAATGTCCCACTTGGGTCTGCGCGTAGGAACCGCGGCGTGAGCGCCCCGGGAAGATGGAGCAGCCTCCGCCCGCACCCCCGCCGTCAGGGGCCCCCAGCTCCCCGCGGGGCCCGCAGCCGCTCCAGCCGCCCGCGCCCGGCCCCCCGGCGCACGAGGCCCCGGAACCGCCGGCGAGGACGTCCCCGCGGGTGTAGACCGCGCCCTAGAGGTGAGGGGGCAGGGGCGGGGGGCGTGTAGCGGAGACTTCGCGGCGAGGGTGCGAGTCTCGGCGGCCGAGAGCCCCCGGGCTCCCAGCGCCCACCCTCGGGTGGCGGCTCCGGGGAGGGCGCCCGCTTCGGCGGCGCGTCCGCCGAGGGGCGGGGAGCGGCGGAGGAAGTTTGTCCGGACCGGGGCCCGCGCCCTGCCCCCACGGTCTCCTGCAGTCCGGGCCGGCGCCGCCCTCGCCCGCGGCGCTTCGTCGCGGCGTCCGGAGTCGCCTCGCCCGTTCCCGGGGAGCCGCGGAGTCGGGGGCGACCGCGGGGCTCCGCGCTTTGTTGTGCACGAGCGGCGGCGTCGCGGCGACCCGGCCTTCTCCGGAGGCCGTCAGCGCGGCCTCCCGCCTCCGCCGTCCCGGGCAGCCGAGCTCCGAGCCGGACGCCTCGACGGGCGCGGGGCGGGCGGGCGGCCTGGCAGCCCCGGGGTCCCGCGCCCGGCCGCGCTGTGCCCCCGCCCCCCGTCAGCCGCGGAGGTCGCGCCGTCGTCCCCACCCCCACCCGCACCCGCACGGGGCGCGCTGTCGGTTCCCGGCCGCCTCCCCTCCCCGAGGCCGCCCCGTCGTCTCCCTCCCCGCCTTCCGCGCCGCCGCCGGCCACCCCCGCCCCCGCGAGACCGCGCTGCCGTCCCCCCGGGCGGCGCAGCCCTGCGAGGCCGGGGCAGCCAGGCCCGGCCCGAGAGTCCGGCCCGCGCCGCCCCGACCTGCCTGAGCGCCCGCGGGTCTTCGCCCGCAGCAGCCCGGGCTCGCGGGCGCTCGGGCGGCCGTGGGAGCGGCGGCCGCTGCGTGCACACTCGCCGCGCGCGCTCGGCCGGCCGGCCCGGAGCCCGGCTTTTCTGATGCAACCTCCGCGCCGTTAGTCCCCGCTGGACTCTGCGGGCGCCGGGCGCCGTGTAACTCACTTGTTGCCGGCCGCGTCTCCGGCCTCACTGCGGAGCTTCGCGGAGAGCATCTCCCCCCGGGCGCAGGCCGGCCTCGGAGCCGGGCAGGAGCGCCGCCCGCGAGCGAGCCTTGCGCCCGCAGATTCCGAGCCCCTCGGGCAGGGGCAAGGCTGACGCCGGGCGGCGAAAGCACACCTGACGGCGCGGGGGGCCGGGGTCCCGGGGTCCCGGGCCGCCCTGCGGCGTGTGCCGAGGCCCTCGAATGAAAAGTACTCGTTTTCAGGCGTCGCGGCTCAAGTCCACTTTACTTGTAGCTTTTATTATGTTGACAACATTTTAAAGAAATGTCTGCATTTTCACACACGTGGAATAGAAGTGTCCTGCACATCCCATTTATGTATCTTAATGTAATAGGTAATCTGGACTTTTAAAAGTGATTTCTCTATTAAAACAGAGACCATACATTTCACAGGTAAAAATTCACTGGCCATACACCTCTCTCACAAAGTATTCAAGTTAATGCATACATTTAAAAGGCACGTTTATCCACATTTTACCGAGAAACTGAAATAAACAGAATTTGAGTGCCAAAATGTGTGTGATCTTCGTATAGGTGTTCTGTTTAAATTTTAACTTAGCAGACGAAGGGCCCTTCTATTAGGAATGGAGAAAGTAATCCATGGCTTATTATTAGGAAATTTGTACTAAATAGATTTTGCTCCACATTTTAGTTAAACCTCAGCTTAAATCCCTGTATGATGGATGACCATTTTTGAGTATTCAATAGAGACTAAACTGCTCTGTGTCTTTTAACTGTTTTCTTTACCAACTCTTGTGACAAGCTAGTAACACAAAATTCTCCCAAAATTAAGAACGCAGAGTGATTAAGAAAGTCTGTTTTAAGTTATAATAGCCAAGACGCTGTGTTATTTAGCCTCGTAAAATTTGGTCTCATTATCCACGTATATAGAGCTATTTAATGAAGATGCCAGCATTCCTTTGAAATTAAAATTGCTGAACATTTAATATCAAAATGTCCAGCAATTTTAAAAAGTATTTGGGTAGAAGACACCATGTAAAATTATTAAGGTACATTACTAGATTCATGGAATTTTAGAACTGGGAGGGATTCTTTTAGCCTCTCCGTCTAGTTTGAAATAGTTTTGAATTTAAGTGTAAATTGGAGCTCTACATAATTCTTTCCCTTAGCAAATCGCAGGGTCGGTGGGAGGGATTTTTCTTTCGTGGGAGGGGAATGTTTTTACAATAAGATGCCTTGTTATTTTAAATTCTGTGTTGTAAATAGCCAGCTCTAGGCTCCCAAATTCCTCTGTGTGTGAGGGTTGGGGGAGGTGTTGACGCTGATAAATTCAACTTCAACACACTGGAAGGATTTGGGGAAATTTGGGGGTGGGGTGGTTATACTTCCAAGGTATGGAAAAAAACAAAAAAGACAGTTCTTGAGCTGCTTTTGTGTTTTATTTCATGGCTCCCACAATGTGAAACTTTTAAATAATATTCCCTACTGATTTTTTTTTTTAAGTGGGCTTGAGTAAATACAGAAGATAAATTTGGTGTGTTTACTTTGTTTTGGCTCTAAATCTGCTCAAAGAGTACCAAAATATCCTGATAGCAGAAAGAAGGGGTTGGATTTGATAATCCCTGAAATGACTGACTTCCAAGCTCCAAAAATACCCTGAATCTCCTATCATTTTAAAAAAGCTTATTGCTTTCGTAATTCCCCCAAATTGCACAAGTTCGGAGTCACCATTCCCACTGTATGCTGGGTGGCTGTCACTCTTTGGTTCTATGAAATGGGACCTTATTAGGTAGAACACCCTGTGAGTGGCACCTGCAATTTACAGGTAGTTGTGCTTGACCCACCCGTTTCACTGAGTTAGCTAGCTCTTCTCTCAATACTTTTATGGCTAATGTTTTTTGATTTATAGTTTGATTTTGAAAGTATTATTAAAACAAAGTAATGTTGGAAATAAAGATAACGGTTATGATGCTGTTAGGATGGACATTTGTCATTTCATGTTTACCATTCACTGTGTGCAAACTTTGTAGCTTACCATTTTGACCATGTCAACCTAATTGTTACAAGTGGTTTTTTAAGTTAGTTAAATACTTTTTGTTCATGTGCCCATATTTAACATTCATAGGAATTTTTCTGGGGGACAAATGAAACATCTCAGATTTTTAATAGTGGCTTGCATTTGTTGTTAAGTAACTTTTATGCTATTGTGGCACAGAGCAGATTGTATAACTCCTAAATTAGGGTGGTAAGGATTTTCTTAAGAATGTAAATTGGCTTTTGAATGGAGTAGGCCTCTATTTGGAGCATTGGCCTCTGGCCTCCAGGCAGTTATCTGAGCTGGAATGCTAAGGACCAGCATGTTCCATTACTAATTAACTCCATCCTACCTCATAAGTCTCACTCCTGTGTTTCCGTTCAAATGTATCCAGATAACACCTGCCCCCATTCCCAACATTGTCTGCCTATTCATCTTTCTCCTCTGTTTGAGCCTTTTCACAGGAAGTTCCAGATTCCAAGAATAGCTTCACACTTCCTCCATCATATCATAGTCCTTAAGTCTTTACAATTTTGATTAAATGATCCTTTCTCTAGGGGACTTCCTTGAAATAGACTGGGATTCTTTGGACATCACAGTAATACCTCTTTCCATAAGTTGACTCTCAGTTAACATATGTATTCTGACTCCCAAATTGGGGTAAATCCAAAACTTGGATGGGGGCTGGGTAACAGGAAGCATAGCTTTTTCAAAGATTGAAAATCCCTGCTGGATTGTGGTATGCTGCAAAGAGCAGACAATAAATTTATCTACAACTTGATCATTCCATTTAGATATCTTGACTACAAACCTCACCATTTTTTATGCTGTTATTCATACATATATGTCATTACAAATACCACATGTCAATACAAAATTAATAGAAAATGTGGCTTGCTTTTCCTCTGGATTGCAGATTTATTTAGAGGTAGGACCCCAGGGTACCTGGGTGAAACCTCATAATGTCTAGCACAGTGTTTAGTAATTCTAAACCCATGTGGACCTTTTGATGACACTATTTATTGGAGAGTTTTCTTGGCTCTCCAAAGGAATCACTGATTTCTGTACAGATCTTCATTATGAGGGGTAGCCCCTCTAGTATGGTTTCCTGGCCTGGACAGTACTGGAGAGAGAGAGCAGCATGATAGTTTATAATTTTGACATTCAGCATCTGACTGGGTGTCTGTCCAGTCTACCTGACTTCATTTTAGTTTTCTTGAAATGATGTGATTTAAATAGTAGATAGAATTTTAGGCACAAGAAATAATGGTTTTAGAAATGTTAACGTGTCAGTAGTGTGGAGACACAGATATGATTGGTTCCTTGGTGTTTGATATGTTTGGCAGCCAGTTTTGATTCATGAAGCATTAGTAGGAATTAGAATAAAAATTATTGAACTGCAGTTACCAGGCCTCCCCGGTGGCGCAGCGGTTGAGCACTGGGTTGCGAAGCTGCCCGCACCTCTGCAGCGCCGGTTCGATCCCCGGCTGCTCCCCGGCCACCGGAGGAGGGTCCCACATGGCGCACAGACCTCTCCTGCCGCCCGCTGCTCCCCTCAGCAGTGTACTTCAGTCCTTCTGCCTGCTCTGCTCCCCACTCTGGCTCTGGTGAATTCTTTCACCCTCCCGCGCT